CCTTGGGAATACACTGGGTGTGGTGACCATCCCTCCTGGTGATGAGGACCCTTGTGAACACACTTGGGTGTGGTGACCCTCCCTCCTGGTGATGAAGACCCTTGGGAATACACTGGGTGTGGTGACCCTCCGACCTGGTGATGAGGACCCTTGGGAATACACTGGGCGTGGTGACCCTCCGACCTGGTGATGAGGACCCTTGGGAATACACTGGGCCACCCCAACACCCACGGCGGGGCAGCCTTCATCGGCTCCACCTGGTGCTTGCAGTCTGATAACGTCTTTGCTTTCTGGTATGACATGTGCCGGCCTGTCGATGGACACTGGGGTCCCCGTCTTCTGCTACTGCAGGTGGTGCTGTGCACACAGCCTAGAGCGCTGTCTTTTCCTGTCTTTGTCTCTGGCTGTTCTTGAGATTCTTTGGTGACTGGCGTTTGGCAGTTTTCCTGTCGTGTCTGGGTGTGGATATTTAATGTAACCTGCTTTTGACTCGTTGGACTTTCTAAATCTGAGAATTTGGATGTTTCTTTGGTTCTAGAAAATTCTCAACCATTTTCCCTTGGATATTGTCTCTCCCGTTCTCTCTTTTATCTCTTTTGGGAACTCCAGTTAAGTCTCTCTCTCTCTATTTGATCCATCCACTGGGTACAATTTTGTCTCTTTTAATTTGTGTGTTCCCTTTTCATTTTATTTCCCTGTAACTTTGATCCTCTGGGCTTTTCATTTCAATTACTATATTTGTTATTTCTCGTTGTCACTGTTACATGTCATCGAGTTCCGACTCACAGCGACCCCGTGTACAACAGAACGAACCCTGCCCGGTCCTGTGTCATCCTCACAATCGTTACGCTCGAGCCCATTGTTGCAGCCGCTGTGTCAATCCATCTCGTGAAGGGTTTTCCTCTTTTTCACTTACCTTCTACCTTACCAAGCATGATGTCCTTCTCCAGGAACTGGTCCCTCCTGACAACATGTCCAAAATACGTGAGGTGAAGTCTCGTCATCCTTTCTTCCAAGGAGCATTCTGGCTGTACTTCTTCCAAGATAGACTTGTTCGTTCTTCTGGCCGTCCATGGTGTATTCCATATTCTTCACCAACACCGTAATTGAAAGGCATCAGTTCTTCTTCAGTCTTCCTTATTCATTGTCCAGCTTTCACATGCATATGAGGTGATTGAAAACACCATGGCTTGGGTCAGGCACCCCTTAGTCCTTAAAGTGACATCTTTGCTTTTTAACACTTTGAAGAGGTCTTTTGCAGCAGATTTAGAAGCTGTATTTGTCCTCTTTCAAATCTATTTGGTCGTTTTTAAGGATCTGTCCTTATACTTTTGAGTATATGTTTCATTTACCCACCACATTAAGCTTGTTTCTTTTGTTCTCTGTAACGGACAGTTGGTGCGTGTATCACTGTGCTCAGTCTCATCTGTGTCAGGTTGGTGGATTGATTGGCCATGCTGAGGGCCACCCCACCCAGAGTAAAAGCACGGGCCCTGGTGCGCCCTCAAAGGCCAGAGAGGACTTCAGCCTGTGAGCGCTAGGACTCAGTGGCTGCTGCAGGGTCCCAGGCAGAGGGGCCTGGGAGGCAAAGGGGCCCGGGAGGCCGAGGGGCCCGGGAGGCGGAGGGACCCCGGAGGCGGAGGGGTCCGGGAAGCCGGAGGGGCCCGGGAGGCGGAGAGGCCCAGGAGGCAGAGGGGCCCCCGGAGGCGGAGAGCCCTGGCAGGGCCAGGAGTCAGGCTGGGAGCAGCCGGGGGAGCAGCCAGGGGAATGGCCCCAGTGTGGGAGCGGCCCCAGTGCGGGAGCAGCCCCAGGGCGGGAGCAGCGCATGACTGGCAGCCTGATCCTGCATTCACCTCTGCACAGATTGCCAGACTGGAGGGGAGGATTATCCTGACATCGGGGCTGCCGTACCACAAGGTGAGGACCCCAGACCTGCTGCCTTCCCAGGATGGTGCCCTCCTGGGGGCCGGACCCAGGCAGCTGACCCTCAGCCACCACGCCCCAGGGGCCCCTGAGTGCAGGGGCAGTGGGGAGGCAGGTCTCGGTCTGGGTCTGCACCGCTTCCCTGCTCAGTCTGTCTCCTTCCCTACAGCTCCAGGCCCAGGTCGGGGCTGGGCGTTGCCTCTCGGTCGACTGCTCCCTCAAGGCCCGGGAGCAGGCACGGGCTGTGCTCAGACACTTCAACGTGCAAGTCACCCTCTCCGACGTCTTCAGCCGCTGCCAGGTGGGTCCCTCGACAGGTGGGCCCACAGTCCATGTGGGCACTGTGCCAGGTGGGTCCCTCGACAGGTGGGCCCCAGTCCAAGTGGTCCCCATGCCAGGTGGGCCCACAGTCCATGTGGGCACTGTGCCAGGTGGGTCCCGAAGCAGACAGGTCCCCGCTGCTGGGAAGCCGCCTCCACATCTTGAGTGCTCCTGACAGTGGCATCGCCCCGTGGGGCCCGGGGGATGGTGGGGGACAGCTCTGATTGAGCCTATTTTAAATGTGGGCATTTACTCTCACAGAGGGGGGCCAGGGTTGTGCCCAGGATAGCTTCCAGAATCAGGGGTGCTGTGGGGCTCACTCCTGGCTGGGCAGGACCCACTCTCTGAGGACAGTGTTGTCCAGGGCACTGATGGCCCCTAGGTTCACTCTGCGCCACCTAGAAAGTTCTGGGCGAGGAAATTCTCGGGTGAGAGTGGCCTCACCTGGGTGGGGCCTCTGGGCTCTGGGTCATTCAGCATCACAGGGGTGGAGGGGGCACCCCGACATCCCCCTCACAGCCCTGCCCATGCTTCACCCCACCCAAAGCCGGCTTGTCCAGGTCAGGGAGCCACTGGTCTAGCTCGGCACCCCTCTGGACCCCAGTGATGCGCCTTCGTGCCGGCCCTGTCCAGCCTGGGCGAGGCTGCCCGAGCCTGCGGGTCCCCCGAGCCTGCCTGGGGAGAGGCCCACACTTGCTCCACCGTGTGTCTGGGGGCCTGCTGGGCACAGAGCCCGCCTCCCAGGGTGCCTGCCGCTCTCCTTCACCAGAGGAGCTGCGGGGCAGGGCTTCCAGCAGGTGCCGTCCGGTTTGAACCCCTGCGGAGAATTTGCCTTTCCAGCGATTTCTTGGGAAGTTATACATACGAGTCACCTGCATATCTTGTTAAAATGTAGATTCTGATTCAGTATATCTGGGGACAGAAATGCAAATTCTCAGCAGGGGTTCCAACTGGAAGGAAGCCCTGCTGCAGGGATGGGGGCCCAGAACCCGGCTCCTACCCTGGCTGCCTCTCACGGCCCCACCCGCCTACAGGACTTGGTGAGGAAGGAGGGACAGCCCCTGTCCTGAAACCTGGCGGTGCACCCGAGCCATCTGACCCGCCTCCCCCGTGGCCCCAGCTGCACAGGGACTGTGGTGTACAGAGCTCGCAGGGGTGGGGGAATGCGGGGCCCCTTCCTCCGCGGGGAGCTCCGGGCTGGGGGGAACCGGATCCGCTGCTCTCTCTGTCTGCGTCCTGCTGGCAAGTGTCTACAGACCCTGGAGCGTCTTGCACGCCTGGGAGGCGTCTTGATGAGCTTTTCAGAGCCTTGGCCGTGTGCTTTCTTGAGAAAACAGGAAGCTGGGTTGTTAGAGGAAACACCCCTCAGGCCTGGGAAGCTCGTGCTGGGGTGTGGTTGGGCCCCACAAGCTTGAGGCTCCTGCATACCTGTGGCCAAGGGTGACGGGGACGCTTGGCAGCAGCCACGCCCGGGCCAGCCGAAGCGCCACCGTGGGGGGACTGTTGGTGGTGGGGCGTTCCGCTCGGTCTGCCATGGATGTGTTTGGCCGAGTGGCTAGTTGGCTGGCAGTTTTACTAGATGGGCCTGGATTTGCCCAGTGGCTCTGCCCCCAGCAGGTTCTTGGGGCCACAGACCCCATCCCCGTCAGCACAGGGCGTCAGGAGGGCCAGGGCCCCAAGCTGCCGGTGCTCGGCAGGCACTGTTGGCACGGAAAGATGCCCAGTGCCAGGGCCACGTTCCCACCACCGACTCAGGGAGGCCTCGCCACCACCTTCCCAGCCAATCCTGGGAGCTCAGCCTGAGCGTGCGCTGGGGCACCGCTGACCCCCAGCCCCACGCCCAGCCATCCATCCCAGCCCGCTGGCCAGGGAGACCAGCACTCTCCCCCACAGGCAGACAACTGGAAAGCCCCCAAGTGATTCACTGAGAGATCACCAGGTGCAGAGTCTGCCTAGGGCGGGCCCAGGCCTGTGGGCTGCAGTCCCCGCTGTCCCCTCAGGCCACCACACAGGAGGACAGCCCTGGGCAGGCCTCCCCGGGCCGGCGCCCCTGGGGGTGGATCAGGGAGGGTGAGGGCGGCCCCTCCTCCACGGACCTGCCTCTGGGCCCAGGCGTCTGTGCTCAGGCCCACAGCGTCTGCCTGAGCTCCCTGGACGCTGGCGCAGGCCCGCTGTCCCCAGGCTGAGCTGGCCGCCTCCCTGGAGACTCCCCGCCGCCAAGTCGTTTCCATTTGCTTTTCCTTCCTTCTGCTATTTTGGTGCCATTCCTGGAGGGAGACCCGCGGCCCTTAGAGCTTTCCCAGCAGCCACAAGGCCTAGGGAGCTGCCCTGGGGGCCACGGGGGGCAGGGCAGGAAGTGACCAGTGGCAGCCAGGGCACCCGCGCCGCCCTCACTGAGGGTCACCCTCACCGTGTGCCGCCAACTGGTCTCCAAGGGGAGGTGGGCCCTAGCACCACCCCAGAGAGCCACCCGGGGGTGTGCCCCCTGCCCACGGCACACATGGACCTGCTGAGAGCTGGGTTAGTGGAGAGAGAGGATGTGCCTTTTACTGCACCCTCTGCCCTCCAAAGCTGGCATGGGCACAGTGGCGGGGATTGTCCATCGGGAATGTCCACTGAGAGGACGTTCCTAGTGCTGACCAGCATGGGAAAGTATTTTATCACAGAAATCTGAGTTTAAAAAAAAATCCAGAGAGAACCCCTGATACACAGGCACAGCGTCTGTTTTGTCTCCCCTCTGGCCCCTCCACCACGGTGGACAGGTGGCCACGTGGACAGTGGAGGAGGCCTGACACCCAGGAAGGGCATCAGCCCTCAGAAGTGGGTGCTGAGGGCATGATGGGACGCTGCCCCTGTAAGACAGTAGGTCCCCAGGAAAGGGGCTCAGGCCACAGATGGAAGAAGGGGCCTGCAGCTAGGGAAGGGAGCCCCCTCAAGACAGGGCTGTGGGCACCTTGGAACCCCTCTGGTTGTGGCACCCCCAGCTCAGCAGGGGTTGGGGAAAGAGGGGGCAGCCAGGCCTCCTGGCGGGCAGAGAGCGGCCTGCAGTGGTGGGTGGGGGTCGGGGGCCAGAGCGTATCCTTGCGATCTCTGTCCTCCCTCGATGAAAGGAAGGACCAGAAGCAGTGCCCAGACCCTGGTCTTTTTCCACCACGACCCCCAAGCCCTGTTCCCATGCAGGGTCCCCTTGGTCTCACAGGCACAAAGGGCTGCAGGAGGCCACCACCACCCTGCATGACCCCTCCACAGGGAGACCAGGCCCCTCCACGAGGAGACACGGCCCCTCCATGGGGTGACACGGCCCCTCCACTGGGAGACACAGCCCCTCCACGGGGAGACACGGCCCCTCCACGAGGAGACACGGCCCCTCCACGGGGAGACACGGCCCCTCCACGGGGAGACCAGGCCCCTCCACTGGGAGACCAGGCCCCTCCACTGGGAGACACGGCCCCTCCACGAGGAGACACAGCCCCTCCACGGGGAGACCGGCCTCTCCACGGGAAGATCAGGCCCTTCCACGGGGAGACCAGGCCCCTCCACGGGGAGACCAGGCCCCTCCACTGGGAGACACAGCCCCTCCACGAGGAGACACGGCCCCTCCATGGGGAGACCAGGCCCTCCCACAGGGAGACACGGCCCCTCCACGAGGAGACACGGCCCCTCCACGGGGAGACCAGGCCCTCCCACAGGGAGACACAGCCCCTCCACGGGGAGACCAGGCCTCTCCACGGGAAGACCAGGCCCCTCCACAGGGAGACCCGGCGCCTCCAAGGGGAGACCAGGCCCCTCCACGGGGAGACCAGGCCCCTCCACGGGGTGACCAGGCCCCTCCACTGGGAGACACAGCCCCTCCACGAGGAGACACAGCCCCTCCACGAGGAGACACGGCCCTTCCACGAGGAGACACGGCCCCTCCACGGGGAGACCAGGCCCTCCCACAGGGAGACACAGCCCCTCCACGGGGAGACTGACCTCTCCACGGGAAGACCAGGCCCCTCCACAGGGAGACCCGGCGCCTCCACGGGGAGACCAGGCCCCTCCACGGGGAGACACGGCCCCTCCACGGGGAGACCAGGCCCCTCCACGGGGAGACCAGGCCCCTCCACGGGGAGACCCGGCGCCTCCAAGGGGAGACCAGACCCCTCCACGGGAGAAAGTCTGTTGCTCCTGCAGGGCACAGACAGCTAGGACAGCAGGGGTTGCCAGGGTCTTAGTAGGAGTTGGGGTGACATCTGGGGTGACAGCCCCATTGGAGAGCTCTGAGTAGCCCCCTCGTCCTGTGTGCCTCCAGGGGTAACAGCAGGATGTCAGTCAGGGTCCCTGCCCTCTATCCGTTCCCATCCTCCCCTGCCCCTTCTCCCCCCACACCGTCCCTCCTCTTCCTATCAGCTTTCCAGAAAAAGCCCTGGGTCTCAGCCAGCGCCCCGTTGGGTTCCCACCAAACGGCGCCTGAGGGCACTGAGGATGGGGCCCCACCACCCGAGGGCCACCAGCTCCCTGGCGCCCGGACTCCACTGGGGCTGCTGTAGGAAGGGCCCCGTGTGAACCAGCACACATCCATACACTCAGACTGGTGCACACGGCCACCTCCATTCCCCAGACCCCAGCTCACCCTCCCAGTAGCCCGTGGGGTGGCCCGCTGCTGTCCTGGCTAGGCCAAGAATCAGGGTCAAGAGGTTAGGGGGTGGCCTGAGGCCACACGGTGATCTCTCTAGGTGGCATTTGAGGGGCTGCTCCCCACAGCCTGGCCCCATGGGCACACCAGGCTCTCTGCACCCCGCGGCGGCCTGGGCTGAGGGCCGGAAGGTCAGTCCCTCTGGGGCTGATGTACAGGCAGACAGACAGCTGGCCTAGGAGGTCCTGTGTGCAGACCCCAGAGCCAGCCTCACATCGAGCCACCGACCCTTCACCCAGCTCGTTTCTGCATCTGTGTCTGCCTGGGGACAGGTGCTGAGGCCTGGACGGGGTGCTTCTGATGCG